TCCTTCAAATCTTTAGATGTGTTTACAACCTTTTACTGCTCCTTTCACATTTTGTTCTGCTTCAGCTTTTTTCAGCTCCCTTGTGCAAATTTAAACTTTTTTCAGCTACTTTCAGTGAATTTCATCCGTTTTTCAGCTGTTTTGTGCTCCTTTCAAATTACATTTTATGCTTCATCTAACTTCTTTCTGCTAATTTCAGCTTATTTATGCAATTTTCAGCTTTATGTGCTATTTCAGCTACTATTTAGCCTTTTTTTTTTTACTAATTTTAGCTTTATCAGCTAATTCCACAGTGTTTGCATTCATTTAACCTTTTTTCAAACTAATTCAGCAAAAATGTGTTCTTTCTGCTTGCTTCTGGTAATTTAAGCTTCTTTCTTTTTTTTTTAGCTACTTTTCAGGTTAACTGGGCAAACATGTTTTTTCTGCTTTCTTCTGCTAATTTCAGCTTGTTCTACCTTTTCAGCTAGCTTTTTAGCATTTTTTTTATTCAGCTGTTTTCAGATACATTCAAGTTTTTCATGGTAATTTCTGCTACTTGTTATGTTCCTTTCAATTTTTCTGCTAGTTTCAGCTTTTTCTGCTATTTCAGCTACTGTTTGTTTATGCTAATTTAAATTTTTTTCAGATAATTTCCTCTTCTTTGTGCTCAGTTTTGCTTCTTTAAGCCTAATTGAGCAAACATGTATTATTTCTGCTTTCTTCTGCTAATATAGGCTTGTTCTTCCATTTCAGCTACAATTCAGCATCTTTTTTTTTTTTAGCTATTTTCAGCAGTTTCCCTGCAAGTTCTTCTGCAATAAACATTAACACTGCATTTTTTGCAGGAAATGACATTTCTCTAGTTATTTTGTCTCGTATCACCCTTAGATAGAGAACTTTTCTATGTATGTGAATGTTCCTGTAAAGTGCACCGAGACAACTTTGATGTGATTTGGCACTATATAAATAAACTGAATTGAATCAAATTGAAATCAAACAATGCTGTTAGGACAACCAAAAGTATATTTATATACTAGTATATTATACTTCAAAAGTCTTAGCGGGTATAATCCTAATCCAAAGTAAAGTCAGGTCCTCTGGACGGTTTCTTTTTTGTCGAAACGTTTCATCTTTCATCCAAAAGACTTGATCAGTCCGAGGAGCCACAACAAACTCAGAGATGAAGACGAAGCATCTCAACAAAACGAAGTCGTCCACAGGACCAATTTAACTTTTCTACCTGGATTATTGAGCATGAACCTTGACAGGTATAAACTGAAATTTCTTTTGGAGTCCAAATTTGGCATTTTATAAAAGAAAAGTTGGAAGGAAAACATCGATTGAACAAAAATCACATCAACTTAATGCCACAAACAGCGTAAAATAAATAAAGAAATAAAGGTAGAGATCGTGTTTGTAACGTCTTTCACTAGTTGACGCACAAAAAATACATAAATAAATGTTGATCTGACTAAGCAAGAGCGTTGAGAGTATTTATGCGTCACTACACATTGAACCCTGACCTCAAAGTCCGAGTCGTTGAAGCCGTAGACGATGTTCCAGCCCATCTGCCCGAACTTCTTGCGCTCCAGCAGGACGCTGTGGAAGAAGCAGAGGGAGAAGAGCAGCTTTTTGTAGGGCGTCGGTCGGGAGCAGCGGTTGAACTGGGCGTCGGTCACCAGCTGGTACAGACGCTTCATGTTGGCTTTCACACCCTGAAGACAAACGGTTTCAAAACGGGGCTGCGTGAGAACAAAACACAAGACTTCAATTCTTCTGATTTTTGAGCCATGTTTGGCGTTCCTCTCCCAAACATATCCAGACCTTAAAAACACAAAAATCCTTAAAAAAAAAAAAAAAAAGATATGCAGAACATTGCACATGACTTCCAGGAGAAACACATGAGCTTGTTGACCTTTGGTGGTTCGGTGGTCATCTTGATGCCAGCCTGCAAGATGGTGATGGGAAACTGGGGGTGTGGAGACGAGCTGAGCCAGAGTCTGAAGTTACTGTGAGGCTTCTGCACCTGCAGCTCCTTAATGAGTTTATCCAGCTCAGGCATCCAGGACAGAGAGAGGTGGCAGTTGGCGAGGAACACCCAGTGACCTGCGCAACGAGAGCCAGCTTGAGATGTTCACGACACGAGGAGTTGCATTCTTGTTTTTTTTTTTTTCTGCCAGTGACTCGGCAGCAACGGTTACCGTATTTTCCGGCCTATAAGTCGCACCCGAGTATTTTTTTCATTTACCCTTTATTTATACGGGTAGTCTCATTGAATCACAAGAACACACTTTCAAGAGTGACCTGTTTAGGAAGCAGATGGTTAAGGGCCTTTCTCAGGGGCCCAGAGTGGGGCGAATGAGGGTGGAGGCAGGTGTCCAAAAATGTCTAATAATTTGGAAAAATCCATAAATAAGTTGCTTTACCGTATACGTTGTATCTATTGTGCGTCACTGCTGATGTGTCGCATTTGTCACACGTCACCACAGACAACCTGGAAATGTGGATCGGTGCTGCGCCAAAAATCGATTGTCTGCCAAATGGTAGCCGCGGGAGCGTGCACGGGAGGACTTTAACAAGAATTTAACTAAACTAACACTTAAAAACAATTATTTGTTTGCTTGACTTTATAGTAAATGTGTGTCTCAGTTGAATTTTACTCAATAAAAGGACTTTAACGGTCAAATCAGCAGCATTTCAAAAGTATTTGCTGCCTCGGTGCTCCGGGAGTGCACAGAGGGAGGAAATCAGGAAGGACGACTCGCTGCGCATTTCTTCGAACTTTAACAAGATAACCACCTCAAAACAATTATTTGTTTGCTTGAAATTATAGCAAAGACGTGTCTCAGTTGAACTTTTACTTAATAAATGCACTTAAATGGTCAAATCAGCGGCATTTTGCCAGGGCGGAGCAGCAAAATGAAGCTGATTTGACGGTTGCTCCAGGCGAGCTAGACGAAGTTGGCAGGCTATGGCAAGCCGATTGTGTCATTAATAGCCACTTTTACCTATTACATGACACAACAACATGCTATACGACTGGAGTGCCATCTAACGGCTGAAAATGTTAGTGTTCAATATTTTCAGTCAGAATGAATGAAAACGGTCATATCTCAGTCAAAAATTGGTTTATAAATATGGGAAAAAATCCATAAATACGTTGGTTCGGTGTATAAGTCGTAGGGCATGTAAATTATGCAAAAAAAATGTGACTTATACAGCAAAAAAATACAGTATACAAAGTAAGACCGTTTGTCCCGTACCATCTTTAACTCCCTCCTCGATCTTGCGCCTGGCGATGAGCGCCTGTCCCTGGCCCAGAGAGAGAGCGTGGAAGTGTTTGCTCATGCCAGAGGCCTCGGCCAGCTGCAGGAGGGCTCCTGTGGGATCCACTCCAGGAGACAGAACGAAGATCAGAGGAGTACAGCTGGTGGATTCATCCACAACCTGCAGAGAACACAGAACGGTGCAGAAACAGTGAGAGAACATGGGCCAGAAAAAAAAAAAAAAAAACTTCCAATATCGGAGTTGAAATTATGTAGGATTTGTGTCAGCGAACATTTAAAACCACCGCCCGAAGCAGCAGAATGGAGTGAGCGACGGCTAAAACTCACCTCCTGCATGTTGAGGACGGGCGGCTCCACAAATTGAGGGCCAAGGTGCTTGACGATGAAGGACGTGATGCAGAACGAAATGCGGTCTTGACGTAAACAACGCACTATTAGCATCTTCTGGAGGTCGTTGCACTTGCTCACCCAATAATCTTAAAGACAAAACAAAGACTTCAGCTTTTATTAATCTAAACCAAGATGAAACAGTAGTTTAATCAAAATCATCCACTCAAACCCACAGCAACTGCAGTCGTCTTCTGCCTCTTCCATGAACTAATATTTAGCCTGCCATGAAGGCTGGGCGATAAAGTAATCACCTGAGTCTGTGAGTGCACATGTTTGCCTGTTTGTTAGCAAAATATCTCATGAACCACTGGAAGGATTTTATTGAAACTCACAGAGCGTGATCACTGACTGTACACCTGTGACAGAGTAACTTTTGGAGTCAGACCGCTTCAGTATGGTCAACTAATCAGCATTAGTCAACACAAGACTAACAAGAGAAATGTAATTTCCTGCAAAAATGCAGTGTGCATGTTTAATGCTGAAAAACTTGCTGGAAAACAGCTGACATTAGCTAAAAGACATGCTGAAATGTAACTGAAATGGAAGAACAATCCTAAATTACCATAAGAAAGCAGAAAAAACACATTTTTTGAATTAGTTATAAATTAACAAAAATTAGCACAAAAATTTAAAAATTAGCTTAAAAAAAGCTGAAATGAGTTAAAAAAAAAAATAGCTGAAAAGTCAGAAGGAAGCTTAAACAGCCAGAAGGAAGTAGAAGGAGATGAAATTAGCTAAAAAATGTGGAATTAGCTGAAAATGCTAAAATTAGCATGAAACAGCTGAATAGCAGAAAAAGCTGAAACTATCTGAAAAGAGCTGAAAGGAGCATAAAGATGGTAATTAGGTTGAAAATAGCAAAAATTACCATGAAAAACTTGGAATTTATCTGAAAACAGCTGAAATTAGCTAAAAAGCTAGCTGAAAAGGTAGAACAAGCTTAAATTAGCAGAAGAAAAAAGAAAGAACACATTTTCTGAAAGAAGCAGAAATGAGCACAAAAAAGTGGAAATGATCTGAAAAAAGGTGACACAAACAAAAAACAGCTTAAAAGTAGCTAAAAAGGCAGAAAGAAGCTTAAAGTACCAGAAGGCAGTGGAGAGAACACATTTTTGCTGAAATGGGCTGAAAAATGTCAAAATGAGTGCAAAAAATGTGGAATTAGCTGAAAAGCAAAAATATGCATAAAAACAGCTAAATAGTCGCTGAAATAGCAAAAAATAAATAAAAAAAGCTGAAACTTGCAAAAATAAACTGAAAGGAGCATAACAAGCTGAAATTAGCAGAAAGAAGTTAAAAGAAGTACAAAAATGTTCTAGTTAGCAGAAAGATCCTGAAAGGAGCACAAAACAGCTGAAATTAGCTGAAAGTAGCTGAAGCAGAATAAAATGTGAAAGGAGCAGTAAAATGTTGTAAACGAATCTAAAGATTTGAAGGATGTAAAATGAGCTCAGTTCGTTTTCTATGAGAAAAAATGTGACAGAAAAGGCTAAACATTTCAAAAAGCTAAAGTTGCACCAATACCAAAAGTCACAACTGAAAGAGCTGAACGTTTTTATGAATTGTTGACATAGCTCGAAAACTGCGAGACGAGAATCACGCCGAAAAACGTACGGAAGAAAAATGGATCACAATAGTGTTGATGCTCCATAAACATTCACACAACTACAACACAGTCAATGTTTTAGCCATTGAGCTGAAATTTTGTGTGGTAGTATCTGAGAGTCATCCGCAAAACATGAGACTTTGATTAACAGAACTTGGTACCACTTTACAATAAGGCTCCCCTTATAGATGGCAATTCAATTCAATTCAATTCAGTTTATTTCTACAGCGCCAAATCACAACAAAGTTGTCTCAGGGCACTTTACAGGAACATTCACACACATTAAAGCCAATTAGTAAAGTTCTTTATCTAAGGAATCCAGCAGACAAGTTGAATCTTGGCTTTGTTGCAGTCTCCCATCCTGAGCAAGCACAGTGGCAACAGTGGAAAGAAAAAACTCTCTTTTAAAAGGAAGAAACCTCCAGCAGAACCAGGCTCTTAAATAGCTCATAGATTTGTTATTAATTCCTCTATAAACACTTTATAAACAGTGAACCAAATCTGTTCATTTCATCTAGAGTTGTTATATGAAACATTTCAGACTAAGCTACTACCTTGTAAGCACAATAAGCATTTGGAAACCTATTTTTTTTTTAGGATATAATATTAGTTGTAGATATAATGCAGTGATAAAGTACAATATTATATACTAAAGGAATGGTTAATAACAAATAATATCTTACCTGTTGTAGATAGCTATTTAAATATACAAATAAGAGTTTAATTCTGACAGGACTAACAAGTCTGAGCTGTCAAAAGTGAATTGTTAATGCCTAAAAACAGCTCCAACCTGAAACGTTCATCGTGTTTCAAGCTGACAATGTTTTTTAAGCTTTTACCTGCAGATAGGTTCACATTACGCAGTTATTTATTTCTTTACAACTCTATTGTTGTTTGAAAGTGCAACGAGCGGCAGCAGCTAGCTGTAACTCCTCTGGTGACGACTAAAACAATTGATATTTGACTTGTTTTAAAAGAACAGTAATCCATTTTGGTCTTGGAGTCACTCAGGCTGGCTATTAGCTCACCAATTTATTAAAATCAAACTATTTTATCAAACTGAGATCGACTAAAGGGCCATCTATGACAGGTAAGATGATAACTGGCCATAACCTTTGTACAGAATCTACAGTTAGAGGGGACACAGAGGTTGTTGGAGTGAGGACAGAGGATACAGAGAACAGAGTGAAATGGACGAACAAGAACACAAGAACAAGAAGAACGAGAAGAAGAACAAGAAGAACAAGAACAAAAAGAATGAGAAGAAGAACAAGAACAAGAAGATTTTTAGATTTTTAACACAATTTTGTTTACACAATAAGTTAACACAACAGTGTTCAAGAAGAAGAAGAAGAACAAGAAGATTTAGATTTTTAATAAAACTTTATTTACACAGTTAACGCAACAGTGTTAAAAAAAAGGTGATCAAGAAAAGCCTAAAATAAAATATTTACATGAGGAGCTTGTTGTATTGTAGTTCTCCCTGATCAGAAATGGTGTGTAAAACCTTCTTAACAAGAAGAAGAACAAGAAGAAGAACAACAAGAAGAAGAACAACAGGAACAAGTGGGGGGTTAAACTTTAATGCCAACAGTTTAAGTTCTGGGCCTAAGATGATAGCATTTACTGTAAATATATAAAAAATAAAATGCTCAAAATATACAAGTTTAATTAAAACAGGAATTAAAAAGGGCTGAAGAAAATGTAAGCATCATTGTGTGTTTTAATAACTGTATTCATCCATTGTTTCGGGAATTGTTCGATTCAGTGTTGTACTCGTTTCATTTTTACCAATGAAAATCGTTTAATTTTGTTTGTTTGTTTGTTTTCTGTTGCGCTGACAGTTCCTCCTGTAACACATACAGACCTGGCAGTGGGGCCTTCTCTGGCTCAGAGTTGGTGAACCAGAGGTTCCAGTCTCGACGGTACTGTTCAAAGGACGACGCAATGCCGTAAAAGTTGGGCAGCTTTTCCAGCTCTGTGATGTCGTCCCAGCTGGAGTCCGACAACCAGTCGGCACACGGATTATCCATCCGATCATTTTTATCAAGAACCTTAAAAAAGACCCATCAGAAAACCCACGTTAGACCTTACACACGCAACAAACGCACAACGTGCGCACTGTTGGATCAAGGAAAACGTTTGCGTGTTCTATTTTCTTACGAGTCCTTTTCGAAGTAGGAAGTTGTACTCGCTCTCGTTCAGGTTTCCGGTCACCTCCAGGAATTTGACACACATCTGGAAGCTGAACAGAAGCTTGTGAGCCTCAAACAGACCCTGACACGTGTACCTGCAGCAGACAACACACCAGAAAACCACAAACAAACTTATCAACAGATCCTGCACAAAATGAAGCTGAACTTTTAGGTCGACTATGAAAAATGCAGTGTTTCTCGTTAAATTATGGAAGTGGGAGTTAACAAGAAATAAGAAAAAATTTGATGACTAAGTAGAATAAATAAGATGTTTTTGTTTGTTTTTGGGGTTGTAACATTTTTCACTGATCAATATATGATCAAAAATAAATAATAAATTACTTTTATTGAGTTAATTCTGCCAATTGTATTTGTCCAGTTTAGAAAGTACTTGAATTTACATCAGTCATGCAGTTTTTAATTGTTCAAGTACTTTTAGCAACAAGAAAGTCCATAAATTGGAATTTTCAACATTTCATAGTGTAGTGTTCTATGGGCTAGGTTAGCTTCGTAGCTTCACTACAATTATATTTAAATAACGGGTTCTCTCTTTTTCGAGCTAATTACAGCCAAGTGACAGAGGTAACTGTGCGTAGATGGTTTAATCAGTGACATGAGACGTTAATTTTCTTTGACCCATCAAAATAAATTGGTCATTTATTGAACAGAATCAAAATTTAACATCAAAACATTGTACACTTGATTAGACTGATCTGGTTCTGATTAATAAAACTTGGCACGTTTTACTTAATAAAAACAACAGACATTTCTGAAGGCTTCTAGATTAACTACTGGCAAGATAGAAGTTTAAAGATGGGAAAAGTTTCAAAAACTAAACGTTAAACAGAAACACACCTTTGCTTTAATCACTGGGATACAAATATTTGTCTTTTAGTGCTAATATTGTTTAATTTGAAAGAGACGCTCAAATGGGCTGTGCACGCTCCCTCGGCGGAGTTTGGTCATGTTTGCAAGTAGGATGCGTCTGTATGCTAACGACAGTGCTCTGCACTAATTAGCATTTAATACATCGGTGAATTTTTGTGCAAAAGTCCCAGGGAGGTTCAGGTGCAACACAAGGAAAGGAAGTGATGAGGTATCAGACGTCTCCCCCGGCCACAGTGGAATGGTCACATGCTAACACAAACTGTTTATTATTTTATTACATGCCATGACTCTTAATGAGGGGGCGGGTGTGTCTGTTGGGGTCGCGGGGCACCCTCCT